TTCCAAAAGACATGGTTTCTTTGTATAGCCATGGCTGTTCTGGAACAAGCTCTGTAGACCAGGATGACCTCAAACCCACATAGATCCTCCTGCCCTCTGCCTCCCAAGTGCTGGGATTAAAGGCATGAGCCAACATTGCCCAGACAAATATAATTTCCTTAAATAAGCAAGTAAGATTGTCCAAATGCATTATACTTTACTTGTATGATATAGATGCTTTAATGTGGTGAATAAGCTGGGTGATAGGAGACTCAAAAGGTAGGTGGTATGATAAAAGGAACATAAATTCTAAGGATAATGGTTCAAGTTTATAGTAAGGTTCTTCATTTGCAGACTAAGTAATCTGAATTGAGGTTTCTTAGTCCTCAAAATGGGACTATGGCTCTCATAAGACTGTTTTGAACAATAATCATAGTAGTCAAGTTTTATAAAATCTAAATTTATCTCTCAAGCCTAAAATCTAGGTGAAAGGGTGAAGCTACAAATGTATTTGCAATTTACAGATGGACTATTTTTAAGAGTTACAGAAATATGCCTTGGGAATTTAGAGTCAACAATTTTCTGTATAGGTAGGAAATGGGGCTTTCCTAGGAGAGGGTGAATTAGTTACAATAAGACAGACTTTGGAGAATGCATAAGATTTAGTATTGAACTTGGAATATGAACATTGCATAAACAATGTTATTCAGTAGGGAGTGCATAGCTCTGTTCACTGTCTGCTTAACGCCAATCTAAATCACTTGGGAGATTAGCCTCTTAGCATGCCAGCAGGTGATCATCTTTGTTCAGTTCCTTCAGGTAGGAAGGTAGCACCATTTCCCTATGCTTGTATTTGGACTCTATATATGGAAAAGAGGAAAAGAGGAGCTGAACAAGGCTCTCTGTTTCCCGATTGTGAATTTGCTATTACCAACTCCATCAAGCTCCACATACCTTGACTCCCCCACATGAAACACGGTACACTTGAGCTATGAGCTGGAATAAATCCTTTCTGCTGTATTATTTTTCTTGGAGCATTTTACCACAGCAACAGGAAAAGACACAAAGGCTTCGCTAGGGGCACTTTACTTTCTTCTTCAGAGCACCTACTTTTAAAGACAAGCTCTCCCTTGTCTTTAACTGGGGTGGGTGACTCTTAAAGAAAATTTGTTTCCAATGCTTTGTGAACAAAAACTCCTGGAACAAGCTGTGTCTGCAGAGAGTGATGGGCTGATTAGAATGTCAGCACTATGGAGAGATTGGAATGTTAAAGGCCCTGAAGCTAATTACCTTACCTTGGGAGAATTCTAGCTCTCTGGAACAGCCATTCCCAGACCATCTGAGTCTGAACTAACAATAGACAGAAACCTTTGGGATCAATTAACTTAGCAAATGACTAGCTTCTACCAACACAAAGGCTAAGCATGTCATCAGACAGCATGTTGCATCTTGGGCCTAGAAAAAACCTCTCAACATGATGTCATCAGACAGCATCTTGCATCTTGGACCTACAGAAAACCTCCCCCATCTTGATATGACTGCATCTCTGATGTATTTTGAACTTGCCTTGATTTATGAATCTAGGGTAACTTAAATCTGTATTCCTGGGCCATGGTCACTCAAACTGTCTCCAGAATAAACTCACTCTTTCTCTTTCTTTGTTTTTTTCTTTCTTTCTGTTTTTCCTCCTTTATTTTTCTTTTTTCTTCCTTCCTTCCTCTCTCATTCTCCCTCCCTCTCTCCCTTCTTTCTCTTTCTTTCTTTCTTTCCCTGCCCCCCCCCCTCTCTTCCTGGTGAGAATTGTAGTTTTTTTTTTCTCAACAGTTTCCTACACCAAGAAAGGCTTCATGCAGGGAAACTAGATTTGAGGACCCAGATTCCCACACACTGGCTTTTTTCACTTAACTAGGGGGCTACCTATGAGAAAAGGCTAATTCTCATTTCCAAATGCAAAAATCTCTGTGGTTCTGAAGCTTTTTCAGCTCCAGTCCCTTGGACTTGCTATCCACTGTTGGATAACAATTAAAGCTTTTTAAACAAATCTGATTGCAGAGAGGGACTTTTTGTTGTTGTTTGTAGCCTTCAATATTTAAGATGCATCTCATTCTTGTTAAAGTAATGTTAAAGAAACCAAGAGTCCCAAGAAAAGGATGTAATATATTAGGATAGATTTTTAAAATGAGGTTTACAAAATACAGTAAAATTAAAGCCAGACAAGCAATTCTAGGCAGTATACTGGAAGTCACTGGAGTCTTTCTCTTTGGTATATTTTGAATAAACATTGATTTTCTCAGAGAGAGTAAGCAACTCCAAGGGAAAACAGCTGGTGATGGGCCATGATTTACCATGAAAATGAGGCTGTTTCTACCTCTTGGAGCCATTGTTTATTTCTGCAATCAGACACAGATTTTTACTTACACAGAGTAAAAGGGATGCAAGATGCAGGGACAGGGTCCAGCTGAGGGCTTCAGAGGACAGGGCATGAACATAAAAGTCAAATTCTCATCTAAAATATTGTTAAAACAAAACTCTGTGTAGGCAAACCAGCTTCTATGTCCTAGCAACAGTTCACTTACTTCAAACAAAACAAAATACAGCAAAACAGCAATTATGAAACCCAGAGTGCCCGTGATAGTGGTGTGTAACTGCTAATCAACCCAAGGGCAACTTCATGGAGAAATCTCTCATTTTAAAAGGTAAAGGCTTCCCTCTATAATTTTTTTTTACAGGAAATGCTAATGGGAGATAAATAACCTTTTCCATCTGCCTGGGGAAAATTCTTTTTGGAGTCAACAATGAAATGCAAGGGCTTTGGAAAGGAAAAATACCACACTTGGAAGCTACAAGTCAAGTTGGTTTTTATTTAAATGCCTTATATTTCCATTTCCAAACTGCCTTTGCTTTGAAGGCACATTCAAATTATGGCTTTTCTTGGATAACCTAAGAAGTTTTGACAATTACCTAGATGTGACAATGAGGGGAGATGCCTTGGTGATGAGTCAGAGAATCTTACAATATTTCTTTAAATGCACTAGAAAGCAACTTCTAAATAAAACAATTCCTAAATATATATTTTGAGAGCATGCTTTAAAGGTTAAAACGGATTCCCAGAATCTCAAAGTGTTTTGCACTGGGGAACCTTTTATCTAATCCACTAAAAATTAGCTTGCAGTCAAATGGGACACTGTTGGAGTGTCTTTGTCATCTACTGATAGAGGCCCTCTGAACATCTCCAGAGTGACAGCATCGTAAAATAGGTTTTATGGATGTTATTGCATTTTCTTTAAATTTCTGAAATCTTTGTTCTTGAGGGAGGATGAGAAGCAGTGAGCTTCCAGTGATGGTTGAGGCACTTGGTTGAAAAGACATCCTTTTAAAGTCAAGGGAAGATGGAGGAGGACAGCTATTCCACATTTCAAAAGAATGATTTATTATAACCCAGACTTCAGGAAAGTGCTTATAAATATCTGCATTTTTCTACTCCCTTGCAAGGTGAAATAATTCTTAACTTTGGACTTTCCCTCTAAGAATTATTGTCTCAAAGAGGATATATATATATCTTTTAAAACTAGTATTTTGGTTCACAGCAAAACAGAACAGAAGCACACTTCCACAGTAGTCTCTGTCACCAACCTTGTGCTTCAGAAATGGCCACATATGAGACACACTAGCACATCACTATTGCCAAAGTTCAGATCCAACATTAGGGTTTACTTCTGGTTTTTATATCCTGTGGGGTTTGACAAACATATGCCAGGGCAGTATTATACACAACAGAGTCACTAGCCTAACAAGCCTCTGATTTGCCTGTTCATGCCCATTTTACAGAAAAGTTTTCAGGTCAGTATTTCTAAGCAAAAAACACACCCCGTTCGAGACAAATGCCTGATGTAGTTCTTCCATTAAAACTCAATGAGTTCAGTGTTCACCAGCAGAAGACTGCACAGCCCACCAAATGTTTTCTAAGTGGGAAGCATGGTTACCAGCAAACATGCTAAGAGAGTTAACTATCAGACAGGAAGAGACAAGAACATATTTCATGTTCTTGACTTCCCTTCTGAGAGCTGATTGTAATCAGGGGGGAAAAAGGAACTGTTTCCCAGGTCCAGAAATTTTTATTGGTCAATCGCTTCCTACCCTCATACTTTATATTTGCATACAATTTAAAAAATTCACTTCTGGGCACAAAATAGAAATTGCCCTTTGGAAGATGAACCGGCAATTGTAAGGCACGCAGGGAAGAAAGTTTCCTCAACTTTTCTGTCTTACTCTGCACAGCTTCCTTCCCTACTTGATGAATGACCACTAGCTTAAATTTACTTCAAAGCACACAGGCGCAATTCCCAGGAACAAGACCTTTAAGGTCGAATGTTACAATAGAATGTGATGTCAGCGTTCTTTTGAGTCATAGTCTGCTCCCCACCCCGTTCTCCCAGGCGACCTGAGAGGCTCCCCCAAAATCCCGGAGCTCCTCAGGTAGGGCTATTAGCCTGGATACCAGCAACAGTCGTGAGGGTGTGCCCCAGCACCTGCAAAGACCGCTTAGCACCAACTCCGCAAGGAGGAGACAGTGTTTTGGCACGCAGGCCATCAGTGAAACACACACACACCATACTCCCCCGCCCCAAAGTCATCACTTCAGAAGTTATCAGCAGGCGCGGGTGTGAAGAAAGTGTCACTAGTCAGCAGCCACTTTAGAGAGCCCGGGGCAGCCCGGCTCGGGGGGAGGAGGCCCGGGCTGTCAAAGCCACATCGCTGAACCGCCAGAGAGCAGCTTCCCCAGGCAGGAAGCGGTGTCACTAGCCATCGCCCAGACCTCACCCTGGCCTTTAGGGAAGGCGTGGCCGAAAGGTTTTCCGGAGTTTCGGGCTCGCTGACAGCGGGTGTCAGGGTCCCGCCCCACTGCGACAGCCGCTCCGGGGTTCGGGGTCCGCGGCGTCGTCCCCGCCCGGCACCTACTGTATCGGACCCGGGAACCCGGGGCAGCTCCCGCGCCCAGGTGGAGCCACCGCGCCACTCACCTTCTTCATTTTGGTTTCCAGGTCCATGCTGGGCGTCGGAGGGGCTCGGTCCCG